AGTAGTAATGTTCTTAAAATTACACTACAAAAATAAGTGTTAAATTTGCCAAAAATAGGCCTACAGATTAAGGGATATAAATATTATACTGTAGATCACATCGCGTTGCCATCAACTTACGAACAGAAATAATATAATGAACAACTTTGAAGCCTTCCTCCAATTTCTAGAAGAGAACGGTCTTGCAGTTGTAAAGGAAAAGATAAGTAGTAAGACGTGGGAATATGTTGTTGGGCTGGACGGCAAAGAGGACTGGGAAGAACTTGGAGCATCACGTACAGATGCCAAAAGCATTGTCAGCTTCCTCGAGAGACAGCAGCCAGGTAACGATTTCAGATACAGAAGTGGGGGAGGCTAAGCGTGACATGTATAGGAAATTCGATTGGCCACCGCATTATCGGAATTTACCATATGTGATTGCTATTGCAATCGGTGGTGACACTATAGTCTTTAGCAAATTCACTCGTGCAAAGCTCTTTATTGATGAATTGAGCTTAAATCTATCCTCAGTTAAAGATCGAATAAGGTATTGTATTTGCTTCTTTTGAAAAAAGATTTCAACTATTATTAATAACGTTCGATAATAGATGTGTGCAAGCAGCCATAAATATTGGTCGTTATTGCAAATGGGCCTTTAAAGAAGTAGGGCCAGAACCGTTCTATCCATTTGGCAAGACTATTGACCGCCAACCTACAGATTCAGATGTCTGGGGTACCCGTCTTACAATTAATTATTCTTCAGTATTGAAGGTTTTCTACTCAATGAAAAGTTCAGAAATTCAGAGGTGTGTCAATCTCAACGTCTTGGCATTTATGCGATGAAAGACATGCTGAGCATCTTTCTTATTAACTATAGAGTACACAATTTCTATGCGACAAATCGAGATATTCCTTTTCTTGAAAAAGCGTTACGAAATGAGATCAAAGGAAATAATCTCCATCTTGAGCTTATACCAGTCGGCCTTCCATTTTCACCTACAAACCTTGCCACTCTTCAAGTTGCCATGTATTGCTTCCTTCATGCCTTGGCTAAGGTTCACCAAAATGGCTGGTCCGTTATTGACATCAGACGGCCAAACACCATTGAACACGATGGTTGCTATTATATTATTGACGCTGGTGAATTCGCTCAACAGCACAATTACCAGATTCATAGTGAGATATTGAAAAGATTTGATACAAACTCTGTACTAAGCCGCCCTGCTCGTGATATCTATATGGTGAAGGAGATGATGAAGGAAGTGGAAGAGATCTGGAGATATAATCCACATGCAATTGATTTCATGAGAGAGTTGGATGAGTGTTATCAGAAGGATAGCCTTGAATCTATATTGAAATGTGAATTTCTTATTGCACCAGCAGAACAGAGAATTAAGGATGTATGTATAATGTGAGATGCCAGAACTAAATGCTGTCATGTGCAAGGTAATAACAACTTGAGGATGGGAAAGTTACCAAATAAACGGTGCAACTGCATTAGCTCAATATTGCTTGTATTCTCCACGTAACTCGACAAATAAATAAACACACACAACATATGATTATTCACATAATAGTTATGCTCACCTAATTGTCCGACGGAATGTTACATAAAATATTACT